GCTTCAAACGATCCTCGACTCGTGAATGAATCAGGGACTTTCTCACTTCCGTGAGAAATATTTTTTTTTAAAAGGCAATTTCTACAAAGTTAGGCTTTATTATTACGGTCACGGTACAAGTATTCTGAGTAAGTTGCCGACGCTTACGCAAGAATATACATACTTGAACTAATCTAACAACTAACAGGTGTTATGTCTAGAATAATTCACATCGATGTGAAGCAATGGCTGGCAAGTGCTACTTTGCCAGCAACTGTGGCATAGATAACAGCGTGAGAGATTTTGCACCAATGAACACTAACGATCCAAGTATCTCGACAACGTTCATCGTTTCCAGATTCGGAAAATGTGGGAGACCAAATAAAAATTTTTTGGGTTGGTTCTACACATTTGAAGCACTTGCGCCACTTTCCAGCAAATGTAAAGCGGTTTAGTTTGGCCTCAATTTTCCCCCCCCGTTCGTCAGAGAAGTTTCTTTCATGAATATAAGCGAATGTCGGAGCAGTACCTCACACATACGGGCCATGGACGTCGGATATCGAGAGTGATATAGAGACTGCGTTCTTTGTCTGCCCTCACCTTCACTCACGGGATGTCGTACTCAACACTAACACACGCGGCTACACTACCACACATACCAGGAGCCTTAGAGTTTGTCTCGGCCGGGGGCAGTTTGACCGCTGGTGGGAGATACCTGGTTATGGGAAAAACCGAAATCATTAAGATGGGTAGAAGATCCCCCATGTATTTCGGAGACGGGATACTCCTTTGTATTCTTCAGTTCGACTTGCTTGCAGCTAGACATGCAATGTATTTTATCTCTGGAATCTGGGCACGATTATTTACTTTAGTATTCTGGTTCAGCTTTGGCGTTACGTCATATTCTATCTACAGTTATTTAAGTCATCGATTGTTTCGAATTCCAGAATCTTACAGTTGATTAATTCGCTGTGGTGCACCCACAGTGTGGTGATCCCGTCCGTCCGTCCGTCCGTCCGTCCCGTCCGTCCCGTCCTCCCGTGCCTGTCCCGTCCCGTCCCGTCCGTCCGCGTCCGTCCCGTCCCGTCCCGTGCCGTCCGTCGTTCCGCGTCCGTCCCGTCCCGTCTGATAGGACAGTAGACCGTGTCCGTCCTCCGTCCCGTCCCGGTCCGTTCCCGTCGTGCCGTCGTCGTCGTCGTCCGTCCGCGTCCGTCCGTCCGTCCCTGTCCGTCCCGTCAGTCCGTCCGGTCCCGTCCGTACCCGTCCGTCCGTCGTCCCGTCGCGGTCGTCCGTCGTCCCGTCCGTCCGTCCTGTCCGTCCGTCGTACCCGTCCGTCCCGTCCGTCCGCGTCCGTCCGTCCGTCACGTCGTCCCGTCCGTCCCGTTCCGACGGACGGGACGGACGGGACGGACGGGACGGACGGGATCACCACACTGTGGTGCACCACAGCGAATAATCAACTGTAAGTTCTGGAATTCGAAACATCGATGACTTAAATTAACTTAGAATATGACGTAACGCAAAGCTGAACCAGAATACTAAAGTAAAATTAATCGTTGCCCAGATTCCAGAGATAAAATACATTCATGTCTACTGCAGCAGTCGAACTGAAGAATACAAAGGATATCCCGTCTCCGAAATACATGGGGGATCTCTACCCATCTTAATGATTTCAGAAGAAAGCTTGAACTCATCAGTATTGAAATTGGACCTCTGCTAACTGAGACTGGCAAGTAGCCTCCTCTTATCAGTCACTTTTCGAACAATCAACCATTGCTTAAGGAACACAAAGCATAGAGGGTAGAGTTATGGTGTGGGAAAAGGTTCCTTGGGATTCTCTGGGATCCTTCATTCGTGTGGATGGTACTTTCCACTGACTTTTTACTTGTTGAGGATTAATCTTAAAAATCACGGACAATCAGACATAATGTCTTCTCTACAATTAAATGCTTGTTTACTGATTCCGGGCACGTCAACTAACATGATAATTTGTCCCGTAAGTGTAGTGTATGTTTTTGCCCAGGCGGTGGCGATGATCTTTCCCTCGCCGATCTACCGTCGGCTAGCGGGTTTTTCCCATAACCAGGTATCTCCCACCAGCGGGCAACTGCCCCGGCCGAGACAAACTCTAAGCTCCTGGTATGTGTGGTAGTGTAGCGCGTGTTAGTGTGAGTGTGTGTATGGGGTGAGGGCAAGACAAGGAAGAGGAAGGCGAGATAGCGCGCGGTCCATGGCCCGTATGTTAGGGTACTGCTCCGACATTCGCTTGATATTCATGGAAGAAATCTTCTCTACGAACGGGGGGGGGGGAATTTGAGGCAAATAAACCGCTTTACATTTGGCTGAAAGTGTTCGCAAGTGCTTCAATGTGTAGAACCAAACCCAAAATATGTCTCCCACATTTTCCGGATCTGGAAACGATTGAACGTCTGTGAGATCACTTGGATCGTAGTGTTCATTGTGCAAATCTCTCATGCTGTATCTATCCACAGTTGCTGCAAGTACACTGCCAGCATTGCTTCACATCGATGTGAATATCTAACAACACCTGTTAGTGTTAGATTCAGTTCAAGTATGTATTTTCTGCGATAGCGTCGGCAACTACTCAGAATACTACGTGACCGTAATAATAAGCTAACTTTGTAGAAATGCCTTTTTAAAAAAGTATTTCTCACGGAAGTGAAAGCCCTGATTCATCACGATCGAGATCGTTGAAGCGGCCGTACAGTGTAAATCACCAGATTAGGGTTGCGACGCAAATCGTGCTTGAACGTGCATCATGTTATCTTTGTGTTAATGATGGGCACTTTCAACCAGCATGCATCCCTTTTCTATCCTCTTCCTATCTTTCCTGACCTGTCCAGGTGGTGTATGAACTTCATATCTGTGGCGCTACCTCGTTGTGGCCACGTGTACCCCGATTCGGCAATTACAAGACCACGCTGGCACGGTCCCTCAGACCACCCTCGGAAGGCACAGCAAGAACTCGCTGTGTACAATGGTTCGCGTTGCGGAATGGAAGGCACCTGGAGGAAGAACCGGCTTCAGCCAATGAGGAGAATATATTCCAGATTTGTTTTTTCAGATGGGCTTAGTTTTATGAATTTTCTTCTCCATCTGAAATCAATCGTCAAATTCCTGTATCTCACATGGTATTTGGGAGGAACATATTCCAGTCGATAATCAGAGTAAAAGGATCTTTTCACAGAGAATCGAAATTATTCATCGTGGATTACTAGAAATCGTTCAGGGGGAGGTGTTGTGAATATGTTGTCGTTTTGTAAAATAGCATTATCAACATTTGTTCTTATTTTCAGATGGGAGATCTAACGCATGAGAAGTGTTTGGAGATCATCCACCAATATGAACCCACTTCCGAAGCAAGAACAAACGGGCAGCTTCTAATAGACGGTACGTAAAATTTATTTGAGTCCATTTCTCGAAAATTATGCGAGAGAGGTAATTATATTATAAATAACACTTTCTGGCGTACGTATTACCATTGTTGATTATATATACTTCATTTTCTATCCTTTCCCTCATTGGTTTTTATCCGTAGTAAATAAGCTAGTTAATTTATTCATTGATATTTAATATTATTATAAGAACATTTCTTTGCTTTGTTTCAATTATTCCGTACTTTCTACCGATATTTATATTGGTTATTAAAGCATGTGCAATGCAACTTTGAGAACGAGTTCAGTCTTCTTTTTTCCACGTCAACTGATGCACGGTCGATTTAAACTTCCGCGAGTCTCGTGACACTAAAATGCGGGGTCCATCATTATTATAGAGTAAACCTGTATTAAGCGACGTTGCATGAAAAGAGGAATTTTAGAGGGGTTGAGTCTTAATAGGGGGAATCGTGTTCTATTACAAGAAATGATCTAATATTACTAGACGTTCGATGAATTAAACAAATTAATCTTAGGAGCTCCAAAACTCGCTTTTCTCGGGTAAACACTCGGCTCAGATACAGGATGCTACACAAACACTCTCCAGTTAGAGGGTAAGTTGATAACCCAGACTTCTGACTTTGATACCCTATAATACAAGATATTCTTCCAGGAAGGAAAGGTAAGAAAGTATGTATTAAATCAAAGACTTTACTTTTGGTCATTTTCATATCCACCGTTTCAGAATAAATGAAACTGAAATAGAGAGAGCCATATCAGTGGTCACGTTATATTTAAAATGATTGTTTTTTTTAATTTTTTGCGTCTAAATAGACGCGACGCGTCTCCTATCTCCTTAAGGAGCGTTGAGCGCACCGTAGAGTAATCCTCCGTTAATTTTATTGGGAGTAATCATCCGTTATTAATCACCCAGCACCCTCTAGGTACCGCTGGGTAGTCAAGTCACGTCAGTCGCTGTCAAGGAAGGGAATCGCCGATAGGTAGTCTTCGCGCTCGCGTCTCGCACGCGCCGTGCGTCATCTACCCATCAGCCAGAAATCGGAAGGAATAAGGATAGAGGTAAGATTTGGGCCGCTTCACAGATGCTGGAGTAACCCCTGTGAAGCATGCAAACTCGTTTTGTCGTAACAAATTTCACATGAGGTTCCACGGGGATTCTCCGTGGTGAAAGGCAAGCTATTCCCGAAATCCCCTTCGCCTCCCGATTTCGTCGAGGATTTGATCGTTTGTGCAATTTAGCTGCTGCAAAATTATCCACTATTCCTGGAATGTTCATTTTTTCTAGTATATCTTATATGTATTAAATTATTACTATTGATACATAGTGCATTGCAAAAATAATTAAGTTCCGTCAGAATTATAATACTTTGTTTATTTTCATTCATGAATTTATAAACTTTTTTCTATGATTTTACAGGATTGTCATATAACTGAAGTAAAGCTTCGAAAGCAATGGAAAAAAAATATTTTGAAAACGAAAATACATGGACAAATATGACCACAATATGAAATATTAACGGAAAATGACAAAAGCGTTGAAAAAATGAAAAACGTGACTGTATATGACTCGTGAAAATTGCTTAATTTTTGTCACTATTGATAAAATCATACTTTTATTATATTTTCCATGGCAATAACACACAGAAAAAAATGACGTATCATAACACTTTAAGACCAGAAACTTTTTTTTCGAATTTTAAATAAATGTTATTTTCATGTTAATGCTATGTCTAAAGAATTGTGGAAAAATGCTTTTAAAATATTGCGTTTCTAGAACAGGCGTGAGCGTACCCGCACGACCGTGAGAGTTAGATAGTAAGGACTTCAGAATTTCCAAAATGAAAATAATGAATCCATTGTATAAAAATATACAATTGAATCTAAGCATATTTTAACATAAAAATTAACTTATTTTTTACACAAAAATATTTAAAACAAATTTTGGTTTCGTGGACAATCTAAATTGCACCTTGCACATTCTATTTTTTAATAAAATAGAAAATAAGCATTTATAAGAAAAAAAATATTTTGTACATCAAAATCTGTAAAACAATTTTTGTTTCGTAAACATCATAGATAAACACGCATTTTGGAACGGCTCTTCCCAATTTTTACCGACAATTATTAAAAAATATTCAAACGGACGTTTCTATTTACTTCACAAATCCCAGTAGCACTTAACGCCAAACCTTCATTATCGTGATAGTTGACAAATGCCCTACCCTATATTACTAAAAGATAATTCTAAAAACCACTATCATTTGCGATATACATGAATAAACAAAAGCACAAGTTACTGACACAGCCACACGTAATTTGAATTCGAAAACAAGTGCTGTGAACTACGAGTGCGATTAAATTGCGATCTAACGGTATAAAATGTAATTACTACCATCCCAAAAACCCTCAGGATCGTTGTGTGTCGGTCTTTGCTATCACAGACACACGAGGGTCAACAAAACTTGGAAAGGCCGAACCCTCGCGATCGTGAGAGTCTGGGCTTAAAGGGTTATCCGGGCCCTACTTATACACATTTACAATTCATTGTGGCTATGCAAGTGGCTAGACTGCCACTTGCCTTTACGAATCGTTTCTAAATTTAAAAACCTTTTTACGAGCCAGAAGAGTATTGTTTGTACTCTTTTCTTATGAATCTTATTTTGTATAGAGTTAATGGAAAATCAGCGTTTCATTTTCAAGTGAACTTACAAACGTTGAGATTCTTATCATACGTCTTTTTTCGGAAATGTCCCCTTTTTGAAATAAGAAAAACTGTCCGGGTTAATTTTACAAAAAAGGACGAAATGTCCTCTTTTTTTGGCAAGGGGGCACTACTGTTATATGCAACCTATACGTATGTTGAATGAACAATATTGCGCTTTGTTCAACTCTTTCGATCACGTCTTAATATTTCACTGTTTTATAAATAACTTTTAACTTAAACTATCTCATTTAACAACCGCCAAAATCCATAGATCAAATACATCTATCTTACGTCCTTTTCTCAATGAAATGCGCTGCCATAAGCTTGTATAACCAATTTGATGACAGTGTATGTTATAGATTCTGGTGTTAATACTATAAAATATGCGTATAGTCTATACTTTTATTCTGCTGGCGTGTGGAGTGAACACTGCTATGTAGTGTTATATTGCAAGCAGAACACCAAAAAGAAAATCCTCGTTTAAAGAAATACTCGTAAGTTCAAATAGTTTGTTGCAAGGTTCAAACCAAAGTTCTAATTGTTAAGGGAGTTTTCATCATCCATCAAATACTTCTGGTATACAACTGGAAAAGATGGAAATGATAATGAAGTAGGACTATTGTGCGATTGTGAAGGTGATGACAATGATTGAAGTATTTATTTGGTCAGTAGTACGTATTTTGTCCTTAAGACAAATAAATTATTATTTTAATACATTTTATGTGAAGTGCCCTCGATTTTGTAAGAAATGCCCTCTTTTTCCATAATGGATGGTAACCTAGTTGAGATCCCACAGACTGACTTAAAAACATTTATGATTAAGTACTTGAATTGCACGGCGCTACGCATATTATTGTTATATTTCTTCCGGAGAGTTAAATAAACTATAATTAAACTATAATAACTATATTTTTCATTTTCGAATTTTTTGTGGAGTACGTCTTTGAAGATTTTTTTAAGAAAGTTTTATGTGTCACCTCAGAAAAATAGCGATGATATGAGTTTTAACATCACCATTTCTTTGCTGTTTGGTAAAAAAATACATAATTGATATTCTTTTGATATAGGTTTACACGAGTGGTGTTTACTACATATTTTGATACCACTTATGGTATGTTTTTCAGGGTTCACGAAGTACCTCTTATCGGATGAATGTGATATTATGGATCCTGCGCATCTTAGAGTATGTGAAGATATGAACCAACCTATTGCACATTACTTCATATCGACCTCACATAACACATACCTTCTTGAAGACCAACTCAAGGGTCCATCAAGTGTTGAAGGCATTGTACGAGCCCTTAGTAATGGTTGCCGTTGCATCAAACGTGAGTTTTTTTACGTAAAGAGATTAATTCAATGTTATTGTTTTAGATGACTAGTGTTTCATTAAATAAAGTGTATTGAAATTGATACCATATTGACGATATCTAAAAATTCGTAGTTTTCAACTCTTCCGTTGGAGCACTATTAAACCCGTCCATGTATTCAGGGCTCTCAAATGTTTTTTTTTTCAGTTGATAGTGATATTATCATAACAACATGTCTATGATATTGTTCACTTCATTCACTGTAAAGCAATAGTTTCTAAACAATTGAAATAAAAACTATACTACTACGAAAATACAATTTTTAGCCCAAATTGAATGATGTTACCATATCTGGTGGACATGATAGCTCTGGATGGGGTACATATCATTTCAGAAGTCTATAATCAGGCATTTCGAAAAACTCAACATCCATAACAATGATATTACATTTCATAAAAATGAACTGAGAGTAGCCTTTTACGAAAATTAGAAATCGAAAGTAATATGACTGTGACACATAACTTTATACGCAAAAAATAGAGAAGACTACTAGAAATTTTATGGAAATCTTTTCTTCATATGTACAGGCAGCTTTAAATTCAAACTTATAATATGGTCAGTGCGAAGTACAGTATTGGAGGCAAGAAAAAACAGCCTACCCCGAGCCTTGCTAAATCGAACACGCATGCGGGGGGAAAACAGAAATACTCAATTGTATTATTTATATATATTAAACGCTAAGATTTTACTTATCTGTTAGTCTTACGAACGTTTGTGTGAGAAACGTAATACTTTTCGATTGAAGAACAAAGAGCAAAATTACTTTTTTGCTTCACGCTTTCAGAATTGCTTATATATTAGTCTGGAAATAAATGTCGAGAAATTATTGATAAAGTTAATTCACAGAAAACAAAAAACTTTTTAAAAAATTGAAAATTAATTAAAATTAGTGAGTAAATTTTGTTAGCCTGACAATTCTGGTCTGATCTGTGTGTAACATTATAATATTGTCGTACTATCGACCAGAAATAAAGGACTACTGTGTATACTTACTGTTAGAACCGTTTAGCAAAGTCCTACTTGTTTGTCAAATCCTGACGCTTTAAAATTGAGACGAACATTTATCACAACGCTAAGAGTGTCTCGCATATTACAAATTCATGTTGCAAACTCATCATGATTTGATTATCATTCATTCGAGAAACTCTGCTATTGAAGCTGAAGAACAATAATGTCATGCAATAGAGTTTCAGTGAAGAATGCTAATGGCGGGACAAGATTGTCTCTGTTTTCTTAGATCAAAATTATACCGGAGTTGAGATGAAGTGGATTTTAATTACTGGTTTAATGAATAAAATTTGCGAATCCATTGTGTACTACTATAAAACGGCTAAACTAACTTTTAATTGTCATTAACTTTAACTTGTTTAAACTTTAAAAATATTAACTGTTTTATGTTTTAATTGTTATCAGTTTTAACCAAACTACAATTATGAACCGGATTATTTCCACAGTTAGATGTCATTCTCTTTAAAATGTTGCTTCTTTGTAATTTTCAAATATAAAACTGTTTTACTCTCTAATAGCACTTCCCGAGGAATTTATAGAAATCCGTTGCATAATATAATCGAAACTTTAATATTTTTCGGGCTCTTTCACTGGCGATTGCCATTATCCTGCTCTGGGCGAGGGAAGAAGAATAACAAAAGCTCATGAGACAAACAAACAAATTTCACGGAATGGTAAATGGAGTGTTCGTAGTCATTTGTTCCACTCGTAAGTAAAATGCCCTATTTTTGGCTACAAGCCAATAAAAGATATTTGAAATCTCCCTGTATCTTCGGTCTGTAACAAGTCAATCAGCTGCAGCTGTGATAATTGATGCCTCATCTGGGACTAAATCACATTATTCAAGAGAATGCTATTTTGGTGTTATAAAACACAAGAGTTTTGTAGATACTCAGTTGCATGCGCGATTACTGATTATATTTCATTGTTAAAAACTTCACTACGCTAAATCACAAAGTATTTTTGCGTTTGCTAACGAGCGAATCGACAAACGAACGAAAGAAACTCACGACATTATGAGGCCAGTTCGTGACATGGAGATAGAAGAAAAACGTAGCACATTTTTACACTTTTTTAAAAAGTTTGTGTCTATTACATTATACTTTTACTTCTAAAATCACACACAATCGAAATGTAGTTTCAACACATAAAACTCGCCAGTACACAAAAAGTGTTCTTTTATTGGCAATTTTCAGATAAAAAGTGAGTTTGGGACTGTTAGAAGTTATTGTAATGACAAGCAAAATAAATGCACACTAAACACAGGCCATGCATGTGCCTTTCTTAGAAATATCGGCATCTTAAAAATACATTGTCAGGACCTTCGAAAACCGATAATAAATGCTCATTGACGTCTAAACAAGGACTAATTGTTTCGTTACCAGCCAGCACTGGTGAGGTCGTTAAGATACAGGGCCAGTAAAGAGCTCGGAGAGTTTGACAGAACGTGGGTCCGAGTTCCACATAGGTGGTTTTCTTGTTGTGGCATGGTGAGCATCCCACCCATTGTGCAACTCTTTCCCATAACATCCCTTCGTTCCTGGTTCCTCCGTTTGGTTGAGGAGCATGCGTTCGAGGCTTGTGCCCGATGCACGCGGACGGCACACGTTTTCTCTCACGTATCCTACTTTCCTACTATTAGTGGGGCTGTTTGTTGTCAGGGGCACTCCAGGCGGACTTACGATCCATAGCAGCGCTGGTTCTGAGAGCGTCCCGATTCCCGTCCGTGCGTTCGTTGCTAGAACGATGGGTCCGCGAACTTCGTTAGGCAGAGGTGATAAGTCAACGGATAGAAAGGGGCCCGCGGTGTGCGTATTCAGGCATATACTGAGAAGGTGCAACTGGAAAATGCACCAGCCTCAGCCACAGGGGAAGATGTATGTGGAGACGCAGCAGCGGGGGAAATGTATAAAGTACCACCTAAACTAGGCATGGCAAGATTGAAAAGTTCTGTTGTACAAATTGCTCGCGAGTGACGGTCTGTCTCGGAGCACCTAGCCCACGATAGTCTTTTGGAGACATCAAGTGACAGTTATAGCCTCACATTTAGTGATATTAATTCCCATGTCCTCCACTAAAGCATAGAAATTATCCATTAAAATGAAATTCTTAACTTATATTTGAACTTATGAAATGAGAGTAATATTACTTTTTAAACCATGATTTCGTAATCGCTTTTACTGCAAAATGACATTCCATTAACTTTCTACATTCAGGTTGGGAGGTATAATGACTTTGTTAAAAGAGCTGTCCTCCCATAAGTGAGATTTGATAGAAGTTCCACTTTATTGCTATATACCGGCAATAAATAACATAATGATTTAATAAAACAAACTAACAAAAACTAGCAAAACTTCGCCATTCAGTCATACACATACACTTTAACAAAAATGTTTATACAATCCAGAATTTAAAAATAAAATAAACATGATATAAAATAATTAGTAAAGTATATAGACATAATTCAATGTCGCTTGATTCGTAGAAAATATCAAGGAAACATACTTTTGTTAAATCAACCATTCTTCGTGGTATTTCGAAGGCACTTTGTATTGTATTGAACTACCGTCCTACAGCTTGCGCGTGTACATCCCTTTCTGGATTTGAAGAGGAAATGGGAGCGGAATGTGTGTTTCCCATTCTGGCAAGTAACTCCTGCGGGCGCAGTTGGCCATGTCTGATCTAAACTGTGATTTCTCAAACTGGGCTTTCGTTCACCTGTGAGATGGAGAGGGAGATATTTTTGCTAGGAACCCTGGAAACAGACGGTGGCTCTCACCTACCAAAGTTCAGTGTTTAGATTCACCCCTGGGAGTACTTGACGTTTGAGGGCCACATGTCAGCGTGAGAGTGGTTTCCTAGCAACTGCAAATAGCCGCAGTTTTCAGACGGCGAGATGCTGGAATTTACAGTACCACGGCTCAAACAGTAAGGGACACTGAGTCCCTGTGGTTGAGGGGCACCTCTTGCTTACGAGGGTTGGGTAGTAATCCACGAGAGCAGCGAGATAATTTCTCCTGTGATCAAGTACGCAAGAACTGTTTGGGTGGTTACTCTTGTTCAATTCTTTCCATTTGGTTACTTCAGTGCATGCCTAACCTGGCCATTAATATTTGCCTCAAAACCTTCTATTAAATTTCAGTTAGTAGTGTATGTATTCCAGAAATCACAATATTCTTCACATTTTTTATTACAAAAAGTACCGATATAGACGAAAAGATCACAAAATTACAAACATATATGTATTTTAATTTGTATGAGGACATCGTCTGCGCCGAGGAGGCTGCGGGTTGAAGTCCTGCGTGGGCATGGTCGCATTTGTGATTGTCGCTTCATCCCTCATTCTCATCCTATCACCTGATTATTCATAGTTCGAGGCGTAACAACCTTGTCTTATCAAAGGATACAGCCGTAAAAAGCTGATTCCCATCATTAAACACGTTCATCTCTCTGGGGCCTCCGAAGATAATGTGTAGTGTGGTCGTAAATGACCTATACGGCAATAATAATAATAATAATAATAATAATAATAATAATAAGTAAAACTTGCAGCAATGTCTTTTGTGAGTATTCATAGTTTGACTAACATGATTCAACAATAGTATTAACAAACATTGTGACCTATTATAGAATATTTTTTCAAGCTGACGAGTAAATTATATCAATAATATTGACTTTTTAACGCGATATTTGTTCGATCCTTAGAACTATTAATTTTGTTGGAAATATTCGTAGATACCCGTATCTAAAAAGAAGAAGAGCTGATGCTTTTCCCTCAAGAATATTTAAAATATCTTCCTACTAATTTTCTTTCTTGCATTATTGTAAACAAATCGAGACTTGATTCTTATATGAAGTAACTTTTATAGAATATTTTCTTGCCTTTTGATTAAATAAATCAATATCATATTTATATTCAATATGTTACACAACATTATCAAGCTTCAAAT